TATTCTATCTCTCCAGTGATTGTGGAAGATATTATAAATACGATGTGTTGATATCTTATTTCTTTTACTGTCTTTTTTTTTACTTCTTAGTTGGGATCAATTATTAAAGATTCATAATTTGAGACTTCTGGTATATACATAAGGGTTTCCTTGTTTGGATTATTTCGCTCGACGTACCAGTCTCGTGTTATGGATTTTTAATTATTGGTTTCATTAGATTGTCTTTTCTTAGTTTAGTATTAATGTTTAGATATGGTTTTCTTGTTTGGATTATTTCGCTCGACGTACTACGTCTCGTGTTGTAGGTTTCTAAATGTTAATCCTACTTAGATACGGGGAAAATGAATCTAGGTAGACTATGCTTAATAGATAGAGCCTTCACTCCATCTAGTAGCCCTTCCCCTGGGGGCGGATGGAGGTAATCTTGCTGTAGAGCTCTGACGCACTTGTTGTTATTTCTTTTTCTTTTAAAAATACCCTTTCAGGTAGCTCAGAGTTCCGGAGAGCCGCAGGGTGACGGAGTTCTGGCATAGTCGTCATCGCGTATTTTTTTTACTTGTAGAGACTCCACTGTAGTTTTGAGTTTTATCCAGACATTAGAGTTTCATATTCATATTGTAAAGGCAGTGTGCCTTAGTACGATTTTTAGTTGATTCATGTTGAGATATTTTTATTATTCAGATATCAGATGTATTATAGTTGAGACATGATTCTTTTCATTTATGAGATATCTTTTCTATATCATGTCTATTACATTTATTCCCTTTATTTTGCCTATTTGTACCTGCACTTCTATTTGGTTCTACTAGAGGATATTACTGTGATTGGTGAAATATGTTTATGTACAGTGTGGGTGCATGGCAGGTTTGACATCTCTGGTTTCACCTTGGACTGCAGCCTTGTGTGAACCCAGGGGCGTCACACGGTAATGCACTGACTGATTCCTGAATCTCTTCACGAAATCATTGACCGACTCTAATTTCCTTTGCTTTTCAGTAAGGAGGGTGGCCATCGATACCTCTGTGTCATCGTCAAAGAAGCAGGCCAAGAAGAGTCTTTCTGTATCGTCCCACGATGTGATAGAGCCTGGTTCTAACTTGCGGAACCACTCGAAGACTACCCCCTTGAGGGTGCCGATGAATAACCGGGTGAGGATAGCTTCATTCCTCGTGAGGAATCCAGTTTGAGATATGAAATAGTAGATGTGCTATGAGGGGGAGCCATTGCCATCAAACTGCATCAAGCTCATTGGTTTGAACTTCACTGGGTAAGGGACCGTATCCCACTCGATCGGGTATGGTCTGACCACCCCCAGTTTTTTCATGTTTTGTTGAAGCTTCAAGGCATCGAGTTGGCATTGGAACCATCGAGCCTCTTATCTTGGGAAGTACCCCTAGTATGCGATGTTCCTGCCGATGACTTGGAAGAATGATCTAAATGCGGATCGATGTTATCTTCTTGCTCAGTCGTCTGATTAGGAGTAGGCTCCCATTCTTTGTTCCTTGCTGGCTTCCGCAAGGTGCCGAAGTCCTTTTCTTCTTTTTCTTCCTGTCCAGAAGTTGCTCCATCATCTCTCTTATGGACCCGATGGCGGCCTGATGCTCTTCAACCTTTTTAGTCATCATTTGACCATCCGCGGTTTCCTCCATGTGCACCCTCGCTCGTTCGCTCTGAATTGAGTTCGAGGTTTGGGACGTAGCCATTGCTGAGCAAACCTCATCCTCACTGCCAGAAGGAGATGCTAAGAGTGCATAATTGAGTGGGATGGCGGCCCCCGTTCGAGTACGCGTGCGCAAGAATATACCCTCGCATTCGCTTTGAACCAGCGAGTGGTTAGGCCCCAGGAAAGAGTCCGAGACTGAGGAATCAGAACGCATGGCTTTGCCTTTCCTCGTCATGTTGATCATAGCAGACGGGAGCTCTAAGTCATCGACGGCTCGCCTGCTTTGACGATTGCGTCTCTGACAAGGTCCCGATTTGGGAGACTGTTGAGCAAGCCTCTCGAACACCGAGAGTCTCAATGCTCCTACACACTGACAGTCGGTAAGTACTACTTGGATGATCCTCTCATAGTGGAACTAAGGATTCGCCTTATGAATAGTGTGCTTGCAGGTTAGATAATCCCGGAGATCTCCCGTGGGTTGCTAGTGACAACCCCCAGAGTCAGAGGGTCCGGGAATGTGATTGTGTGAGAGAGGTTCGAATGAACTCTCTTAAGTACACTGGGTGAAATCGCTAAGTGTCGAATTCAGGCGAGCTCGCCTTGAGAGGCGGGTTCTTGTGTTCGGGCAGGCT